TATACCCATGGAATATTGACATTTTAGATTGTTTTTAAAGCAACAAATGTACAAAATGTACAGGCTAGTAATATTATCGTTTTTAGCAAAACGATAATATTACTAGCCCGTTTGTATGCAAAAAGAAAACTATTTAAATCTTTATAAAAGAGGATACCATTAAAATTAAATATAACCCCATTATTTCCGCCCATATACTAATTAATTACATACTTAATTGTGTGTTCGTTAATAAATAAATGTGGATTGAGTCAGAAATAAATATAATAATAAGTTATCAAACTTTTTTTTTTTATTTTTTAATGAAATAAACAAATTATATCGACAATATTAGTATCTGTACTCTTTAAAAATTTGGTACATCTTTAAAAATAATCTAAAATTCCATGGGTATATTGATAAATAAGTTCTAAATTACAAGAAAATGCATTTTCTACGGAAACTTAAAGAGATAGGTAAAAAACGGTATAACATAATTTGATAGACAATTTAGTTGTGCATCTGATTCTTGTAAAATATACAGGGTGTTCTATTTAAATTAAACAAGTTTTTGCCGTTTGAAGCTAATAATTATTTAAAATAAATTTTTAGATACTCTGTGTAAGGTAGTATAATTTTTATTATTGCAACACAATAATTGAACAATAAATAAACTTCAGTAAATATTTAGTATTAAAAACTTTTATACCCTTGGTGAAATGAAGCCTTAAAATTTTTACTGCAATTTCACAAAATTGAAACTATTTCAAAAACGGTAAGGTTTAAATATAATAAACCTTAATCAAATTTACCTTTATTTTAATCATAGAAACTAGAAATTTAATAATATACAGGGTGTTCCATTTAAAAAAATACATCTTTGATATTTTTTACTTATTTGGGACACTCTGTATCTTGTAAAATTATTTCTAAATTGTAGCTCTAATAGTCCTTCAACGAACCCAAAACTTAAAATTTGTAAAAATCTCATCGTTTAGCTACAATACTCCGTGTCGTATGTGGTGAACAACCCTGTATACATATATGTTAAAAATGATATTTATAAGAAAATGCATAATGTGTGCGTCTCAAAAGTGGCTCACCCCTATAAGTAACTATTCAATTATTTTCGGCCACTTCCTGTTTCACCGGAAATCACTACAACTTTTGATTTTTAAATGGCCCCTCTAGGTATTTTTTACTTTATTCGACAGAAAATGACACTCTGAATAGAATGCTTAAAACAAAATTGTATTTTAAATTTCAATCTAGGGTATCATGGATGTGTTAAAAACACTCATTTTTTAATCAAGGAGCCTTGGAAAAATAGATTTGATCGCCTAATGTTTTTACTGTCTTGTCCTGGTCGGTTAAAAGATGTTCAAATCGTATTTTTAATAATATATCAATTTTTTCAAATGGAACGAGGGTGGCGAACGTAGACACGCTAAAAAACATCTTGCGGAAGTGTACCATTTTCATTCATTGATAAAATATTGTAAAATATAGTAAGATTTGAAAAGTACTCGGCAATTGGAATTCGTAAACAGACGCGTTTTAGTTTACAGCGTGTTTTGATTTCTTTGGTTAGATATGTTTTGGTTTGGTTTGGTTCCCTATTTTTCTTTTATTTGCCATCAAAATGGTAGTGATAAAATATCTTAAATGCTTATTAGACGTAGTCTCAGAGCCAATCTTAAAATGTTTTTGAAACTCTTTCAAAAAGATTTCTCTTCCAACATTTAACAAGTCTGTTTTCCATTCTATAATAAAATAATAATAAACTAAAATTTACTCGCTAACCAGGTTTAAGCTTCCATGTCAATAATACAATGATTGGAGCCTTAATAAAGGGTAAGTTAAGTTTTATGACTTATCGCAAGAACCGTATGATAAAAAAAAACAGCGTTTAGTTGGTTTGGAAATGACGATCAATGAATGACATTCCCTATATAATTTTACATACAAAATGACAGCTCTCTTTATTTCCAAGGCAGTTTTGACGCCATTTTTTTCGATCGTATGGTATCTAGCATTCACATGAAAGCGCAGAAGACTTTTGCGCAGTATAAACAAAAGCATGTTATCTGTGCTATAGCTATTTATTTTGTATTAACGATACATTAATAACATTACTGTTATTATTTAATTTCTCTGCAAAAAGCAACATATCTAAAATTTGATATTAGCAGTAATCTGCAATCTTAGTTTATTGGAGGCTATTTCTTTATCAGGTACGGCTGGTAATGTACTAAAATCCATGTTTTTGAATTAGCAATCTGCTCGAAATGTGCTAATCACTGGAAAACAATGAAAACCAACTACCTACAGACGATTACTTATTGATCATAAAAAATTACTATTACCCATTATAGACGCAGATCAAATTAATCCGATTTACAAATTTGCGAAGAAAGAAACAATATTTCGAGCACATCGTAAATCGCCGACGTATTAGTCTAATACGTCGGTACTTTACGCAGCAGCCGAACTTTCCCGAGCGGCTAATGTGTCGGCGAATTCCGAATATGCTGCCCGAGTAGGGATTGGAGTGCACTTTGATGCAGTGCAATTCCTAACTAGTAGAGACGAGCAATTGGTTTCGCATAGGAGGCATTGTAAATGTGCTTACGGTTACCGGGATACCAATGCTCGTACCCCGAATTTGTAGCACCCTATATAGAAATCTAGCTAGCATTCGTCTTGGTTTAAAAAAGCTTTTCTCGAAGTACAATACAAAAAATATTTAAGTCCGTGGAAAAAAAAACGGTTTTGATAAAAACATAAACCGGTGTTTTGTTACCGACAAACAAAAAAGGGCTTTTTTGTTCCTTTAAGATAAAGTAATGACGCAATGTAATTTTCGGTCCTATTTGTATAAAAACCTCAAGACAGGGTTTTTATGAAGCCATCTAGAAAACATTTTGGGGATATTTTTATCTTCGAGTTGTTTTGATTTCATAAAAATTTTGACCTAAAAACTTACTCATTATTTATGTATTCATCATTATCATACCATTTCTTATTAATTTATTAATTCAAATATTTGTTACATGAATAATTCAACATTTTTTGTATAACTTTATTCTTAAATAAACATTTCTGCGTTGGTTTATATAAACATAATAATGGGAGAAAATATTTTTATTTCATGAAAAAGGACATGTCATATACAGGGTTCGGCAATAGTGCGTCGGGCATCTGTAGCTCCTAGAATATGAAATAATACTGCGTGTATCTGCCAAACCGTTAAGAATTTTGAAATACTCTAAATACAAAAAATGTTCATTTTTAAACTCTCCATCCAATAAAAAAATAATATACAGGGTGTTCCATTTAAAAAAAACAAAGAAAAATTATTTTATATTTTAGAAAGTTTGGCGTAGAATTTTGAACATCCTGTATAATTTACGATATTCATATTTATAGCAAAGTAAGTACAGACTATCTAAAGTAAATACCTAATATAGTTTTGATTTCAGAACAGTTCTTGTATTTTTAATAATTTTTTTAAGAAGCGCTGAAAAATATATATTTTTGATTTATTTTTTAATATCTCTGAAACTATCGAAATATATTTATTTATATCTTAGGTGTATGTAAAGTGATCTGAAAGGAATCCAAATGCAATAATATACAGGGTGTTCCATTTAAAAAAAATCATCCACGTCCACCCACACTTTTTTGAGCCACCCTATAGAAGTTAAAATATTTTCCTGAAATACATCCTGGTACATACTTTAGGTTTGCACTAAAACAAAATTTTCAAATATTTTATTCTATGAGCTGCAGATGCCCGACGCACTATTGCCGGACCCTGTATATAATATTTTATTTTTTTTATAATTTAGAGATATGGTTCTTAAACTTCTTAACGAAAAAATTACTCTAAAAATCTTAAACCATTAACAAAAAAAAGGCAAAATAAAACATTAAATCACCACAATACACCAAAACACTTTTAAAAGACGAACACGCGTTTTGCTAACCGTGTTAGCATCATCAGCAGATGATTAAAGCTAAACTGTTATTTACAAATTTAGCATTTATAAAGGAACTCGGTTGCTACTGACCAAGTGAAGATAATACAAACAGAGGTATCCGAGGTAACCGAGGTATCATCATCATCATCATTTAGCTTATACCGTCCACTGCTGAACAAAAGCCTCCCTTAACCCTAGCCATTTCCTTCTATTTTGTGCCACTTGAATCCAGTTTCCAGCCACCCTCTTAATGTCATCCGTCCATCGACTAGGAGGTCGTCCTCTGCTTCTATAGGCCTCGTGTCTCGGTCTCCATTCCACAAGTCTCTTTGTCCACCGTACATCTGTCATCCTAGCCACATGTCCTGCCCAATTTCATTTAAGATGTAAGACAGATATCACCGCAACTCTTACTCCTGTTCGATTTCGTATTGTATGATTGGATATTTTATCTCTGAGTGTAACTCCCAACATGGACCTTTCCATTTTCCGTTGCATGACCTGTATTCTATGTATGTTCTTTTTTGTCAAAGTAAGCGTTTCAGCTCCATACGTGAGGACAGGCAAGACACACTGGTTAAAGATCTTTCTTCTTAAACATATGGGAATATCAGATCTCAGTATATGCCTTAGTTTGCCAAATGCCGCCCACGACAAACCTATTCTTCGTAAAATTTCGTGGGTCTGATTATCCCTTCTAATACCGATCTCATGCCCTAAGTATTTATATATATACACTTGTTCCAAAGGTATGTTATTAATGTTTAAATTTCCACTTAGTACTAGGTTTGTCATGTATTGTGTCTTTGACAAGTTAATTTTCAAACCGACTTTTTCCGAAGCATCATTCGGCATATTCAGCATATTCTGTGCCTCCTGTATGTTGTCTGTTATTAAAATAATGTCATCTGCAAAACAGAGATGATTTATCAATTTGCCATCGATGTTAATTCCTGTTGAATCCCAGTTTATCCTTTTTAACATACTTTTTAGCACAGCAACGAATAGTTTAGGAGACAGTGTGTCGCCTTGTCTTACCCCTCGATCGATATTGAATTTGTCTGTGCATTGATTTGTCGATATTCTGACGTTTGTCGTGACATTATCATATCTATGTCTTATGATTGAGGAGTATCGATGATCGATGCGACTCTCACTTAGTGTCTCTAGAAGCTTCCACTGGTCTACCGAATCGAAGGCCTTCTCGAAATCCACGAAGACAAGCATTAGTGGTCTATTATACTCAATGCATTTCTCGATAAGGACCTTGACTGTCAGAAGATGGTAATTTGTTCCGTAACCTGATCGGAAACCTGCTTGTTCGCTCGAAAGAAAAATGTCTATTTTATTTGTCAAACGCTTGGTTAGTATTTTAGTAAATAATTTGTATACGTGGATAAGAAGGCTGATGGGCCTATAGTTTTTAAGGTCTGTAACGTCACCTTTCTTGTGTACAATAATGATGGTTGCGTTGTTCCACTGTGATGGGGTTATTTCTTCTTCAATGCATTTATTAAATAGGACATTTAAAGCTTTGATGATTTCTGGTCCTCCTTCTTTGATTGACTCTATTACCAGCCCATCGTCGCCGGCAGCTCTATTGTTTTTCATATCTATAAGGGCACTGATAATTTCTTCCTCGATTATTTCTGGAATTTCTTCCGACCCCTGATTTATTACCTTTCGGATGTCGGTTTTGATCCCCTGCTGTTTTGATGTGTAAAGTTCTTGATAGAAAAGTTTAGTAGAGTGTAGGATTTCCTGTTTGTGTGTTACTATGTTGCCGTGCATATCTTTGATCTTTTGTATTTCTTTTCTTCCCATTGTACTATTTCTCATTACCTTCAAACTTTGATTCTTCTCTATGACGTTCCTAATTTTTTCCGTATCCTGTTGCCTCCTATGCTTTCTGATTTCTTTGGATATCTCTCTGTTTAAAGTTCTATATTCTTGTGTACTCTTGTCCTCCATATCTCTTCTCTGTTTCATTAAAAGTTTTGTTCTTTGATTCAGTTTTTGTTCTTTTACTTTTTTGGGACAAAATTTTTCGATAGCCGTTTGAGTGGCCTCTTTGATGTTTTCGTATATTTCGTCTATCGTAGTAGTATTTTCATAATTTAGATTTGAGGCTGTACATTCCTTATAAGAATCTTTATTTTCAGGAGCTACCCATTTCTTGTGGTTTTTCTTGAGTATCATGTTAGTTCTTTCCTTCTTTATAGTTATTTTTATCTCGGCTCTTACAATGCGGTGATCGCTTCCTATCGAAAATCTGTTTAATACACTTACGTCTTTGATTACATCTTTTCTATTGCTGATTATGAAATCAATTGCGTTTTTGGTTTTGCCGAGGGGTGTCTCACTCGGGAAAAAACTGTACACGTACTGCCAAAATATCCTTCCACTGCTAAGCGACTGCCAATGCTAATTATTATAGGCGACTGCCATAAGACTGCCATAAGACTGCCAGTGACTGCCAGCGACTGCCAAGAAAATGTACAGGTAATTCCAATAGTGAGACACCCCTCGGGTTTTGCTATCTGGACTGGTCCATGTCCACTTTTTGCTGTTTCTTTTCTTGAAGAAGGTGTTCATTATATATAATTTGTTGTAGTGTGCGAAATCTATCAGTGTATCACCTCTTTCGTTTCGGCTTCCCAATCGATAATAGCTGACTGAAGTTTCCGCTTCATCTTGTTTGCTACCAACTTTGGCATTAAAATCTCCAATTAACATGGTATAGTGTGTTTTTCCATTTTGTAGAGCAGTGGATACATCTTCGTAAAAGTTCTTCAATTCATCATCTGTACTTTCGGTAGTTGGTGCATATGCCTGAATAACCTTTACAGAGTATTTTTTATTTAATTTGATTGTTAAACATATGAACGTGGGCTTATGTTTTTGACATCTACAATCATATCTTTGTGTTTTTTGTGGACTAGGATTCCAACGCCTCTTATGGCAGTTTCTTCACCTGAGTAGCATAATGTATTTCCGGACTTCAAAACAACCTGTCCCTCTCCTATCCTGCGGGCTTCACTTATACCCAGTATGTCCCATTTTATATTCTTAAGTTCTTCTTCCAGTTCTAGAAGTTTTTCGTTTGATGACAGTGTTCGAGGTATCACCGACTTATAATTTGGCAAAATGGTTATCAAAGGAGTTCGAACATTTACCTAATCATGAACCCTCTTTCTCATTTAAAAACGACATAGAGTTTATTAACAAAATTAAAAATATAACATTACGTGATGGTGAAATTTTGGTCTCCTTTGATGAACCTTCGTTGTCCCCAATTGTTCCAATTCCACATACTTTAGTCTACTTGAATGAATTACTGAACGCAAATGGTGTCGACAACAAAACTGTGATTGAATATATTGAGCTTACATCGTTATCTACGAAACAAAATTGTTTTCAATTTAATAATAACTTTTTTGAACAGCGGAAAGATATGGCAATGGGTCTTCATTTTTGGCTAATTTATTCATGAGCAGGTTTGAAGTGGAGGCTAAAAATCAGTTTCAGTATTTTTCAAGAGTAAGGTTTAGGTATGTGGATGATATTTTTGTTGCATTTGATACAAATTCAGACACCATAAATAATTTTATTTCTAAATTAAAAAGTCGTTTTCCTTCCATTAAACTTACATATAAAATTAAGAACAGCGACAAATTACCATTTCTAGATGTAGTAGTTCTTAGAAATACTAATAATTGTCTGGAATTTGATATCTATAGAAAAAATACCACTACAAGTAGATATATCCTTAATGAGTCATATCATAGTGTTCAACATAAGCTGACTAGTTTAAATTTTTTAGTTCATAGATTACTTAGTTTTCCGAAATATATGAAATAGAAAAAAATTACATTAGGAATGTAGCTGAGTGTAATGGATATTCTACTTCATTAGTTGATAAAAATTGTAATTAGAAAACGTAGGTATAAGTTTACGTAGGTATAAATATTTTCCGATTTTAGAGTCATCCCGTGGTCTAAAAAGAATTTTTAAGAATGTCAATTATAAACTCGTGTGCTAATAATAAATTACAACAATTATTAGGTAATTCTAAGGATAAAATACCTCCATTGAAAAGGTCGGGTATTTATGAAATTTCTTGTAAAGATTGCAATCAGAAATATGTTGCGCAAACTAGAAAATCAATATTAACTAGATTTTATAGAACATTTCGCTCAGATAAGATATGGTAAACCGGACAAATCTTGCGTTGCTGAACATATTGTTGATAGTGAAAATTGTATAGATCTTAATAATTTAAAATTAATTAAACAAGTCTCAAATTACAGGCAATTAGATACATATGACAGCATCAGAATTAATAAATGTAAAGATAGTATGAACAGAGACAACGGTCCAAAAGGACAATAAGTAAGACCAAGACCGGTGTTGATGATACTAAAATGGTTAGCAAAATGCACATACAGTTTTAACGGTAAATTTTTTGGTGTATTGTGATCAATTAGTTTTTTATTTAGCTATTGTAACACCAAAGGTTAGTAATTTAGCCATTGTAATACCAAAAGCAACCCCTATTTGTGGCAAGTTTTGATAGACACTTTTATAACATCATGCACAAAATAAAAATAGCTTTAGTTTGACATATAGATGATCCAAAAATTTTATGAACGTAGAATGTAGAATGTAGAATGTTTAGAAGGGGAGTTAATCACCGCGACCTTATAGATCTATTGTGTGTTCCCCTTTCTTGAGTTATAACGAGTTATAACTCATCATACAGTCTCAGGGCTTTAAGAAAAGCCAGTATCTGAGACGGCTCCACAGAGGCCAGCTCTCCATCCTCGACATCAGACGTGCCAAGGTTCATGGCACGAATGGTCGTCGTCTCGGCGCACTCAGTGATAAGGTGTTCTGGTGTTTCCCCATTTTCCCCACAAAATCTGCATTCGCCTTTGTTTCTCAGTTTCAGCCTACTGAGGTGTTCGTTGAGGAGACAGTGTCCTGTTAGAAACCCCGTGACAATCCGAAGATTGTTTTTACTTAAATCAAGGAAAACTTTTGATTTTTCTCGGTCATAAGTTCTAAGGAACTTTTTCGAGTGTCTTAGACCGTTGGAGGACACCCATTCCAAGTTACGGATGGAGTCTTCCAGATTCTTCAGTTCCGCTTTCAGTTGGTTCCCGTTTTTTATGAACGTAATGTCGTCTCCAAAATCAGTTATTATTATTATTCATTAAAGATAGTTGTGCGGCAACTTTTTTATTGGTACCCTTTTAAAAGCATATTCTCCTAGAGTATCTTCGAAAAAAATATATGATGGTTTCATAAATATAACTGATCATAAATTACCAGGTTTACTTGAAGTGAAGAATCATTTTTAATTTTCTATTAACAAACGCCGCCTTTTGTTTATTGTTTTTAAATTACAAGGCGTGAAAACATTTAGGTGAAAACCGTCCGAACAACGGCCACCTCGATCAAAAGACGATCCGAAGCAAATGCTCCGATTAAAATCGTATTAGGGCTGTTTAATACTTTCAATAATGCGGCCGGAAATCTGTAACGTCGAGCGCTACCTTATTATTATACTTAATCGTTTTTCTTGGTAATACACCCGAAGCTTTTCCTGCAAGCTAAGTTCATTAAGGACGAAAAGAAAACGGCCAAAGAAGAGTGGGAGATGGAGAGAGAAGGCCGCGATAGAACATTAAGGAAAGAAGAGGACGGATAGAGAACAAACACCATTAGTTCGGCTTTCAATGGGCCTTTATTTTGGTGGGCGCTCGATGCCTTTTACTAATAAAGAAATTAAAAATTCATTAGACGTCGGCAATGTAAATTAATTTTCTGCCGTGGACGGGTCTCCGGTTAATTTTTACACATGGGCCACGTCGACTAGTTTATTACCGTGATTTTGCATGAAAACTTGTGTAACAAAGTCTTTCCGTAACTCAAAAGAAAAAAACCGAACCTTTTGTTGTCTGTCCGTCCGTACGTCTGGCTGTCAAGATCCTTTTAAAGGTGGGAATTCTAGTTCCGTGGGAGGAACTAGTTAGTTACTTCTAGTTCCTCCAAAGGAATATTTCTTTGAACTAGGTCTTTAGTTCACATTAGTTCCCGACATTGACATCCCCGTTACTTGCTCATGGGTTTCGTTATAAGTCAGAACTATTCACAGTATGATCTGTATAATTTTTATAATGTTCGAAATATAACGAGACGTGTAATTACATATGTTGCAGCTAAAAACAAAAAATTAAAAAAGAAACTCAAATCAGAGTTTAACAAAATATAATATCACAAATCAATTGAAGCAAATAATAAAATATTTAATATTGCCACATGTGTAGGTGAAGCTAAATGATAAATATGAAGGTAAAGTTTTCTCTCGTAAAATTGCATTTTTCCGCACTTCAAGCTTTTAGTTTTTGTCTAAAAAGTCAGAATATCTACTGTATTTTATACGATATTTCTTAATTTTAGGGACATAAAGTGAAACATTCCCATAAAATATTCAAAGAAAAAACTAAAAATTAAAAACAATATCCACGACAATTTTCTGTGGTAATTAAGCCGGCCGCGGCAATAGACAAGACCGGATCCATCGTCGTCGCCTTGCATTATCGGATTCGGATCTGCGAACTGAATAGATTCCCGTGAACCAGTCTTTTAACTAGTTCCTCTAGTTCCTCTCAGTCCTTTCGGTCCATGGCACTCTCCACTACCACTTAACATTAGGCTACGATCGCGCTGGTCGATCCGTACGTGAGTCGTGAACTAATATTTTTCTCAGTTCCTCTAGTTCCTCTCGATCCGGGATCGATAACATACGTCTTGAACTCCCCACTCCCGACTAGTATCGTGCTACCGTCGCATATTATTATACAGGGTGGTCCGAACAGTATTCCGGAAACTGCGGCAGCATATTCTACAGATCAAAATAAGTAAAAAGTTTGTATAAACGTATGTCCTAAAATGCTTAGTTTCGGAGATACAGGGTGTAGAGGTTTGATTTTTATTTCGATTTTTTCCAAACAATTTGTGCAGTTACATCAATATTTGGATGAAAATTGGTATCTGGGAGTTTTGTGACACGAGAAATTTGATCTTGATGTCAAAATTACTCCTCTTTGTAGGGGGCGCCACCTACATGTGTTTTAACTGTTTTGAAGAGTATTAACTTTTCGACCGTACCAGTATAAAACCACTGACTAAAA